TCCTCACTTTTTGTAAAATGGAGTTTAGTTAAATTAACTTTAAAAGGTTAATGTCTTATTACTCTTTATTACCTTCTAGTAACTGAGTAGGGGCACAGAGATGAGGGTCTGTCCTAATCCTGAAAGTACCTTCCCAGGAAGAAAATAAGAGGCAACAACGAGAAGAACCAGCAATACAAGGGGCTCTGAGCTGCTGGGACGGGTACCCATTAGGATGTGAACGTGCCCAGCAGTGGACCAGAGGAGGAAGAGGCAGAAGGGGCGCCTGTGTCTAGATACCAGTTCTTGGCTTACACATGACTGGAGTGTGGTATGGAAGAAGCATAACATTTAGGAAAGCGTTAAGTCATATTTGCTTCTCTCGGAAGGCTGAGTGGGGTGAGGACAGGTTGACTTCCAAGATACTTTCTTCATACAATTCCATACCAGAAGCCACCCACTTCTTAAGTATTAAATAGGAGGGAGATATGTAGGATAACAGGTGGCAGGATACAGGAGGAAAGAGCTGATCAGCTGGCATCCCCAGAAGAGTTAGAAGAAAGGAGGGAGAAAGCTATAGGTCATGATGGGTGGCTTTCTCTGCAGCAGCTTAGTGCTCTGTGTCTGGCTTGGGAAGGCTCTGCAAGGATGATGAGAGACCCTGCACCATGTTCCTCCATCCATGCCTTCCCCTAGCCTACACAGAAGGGCAGTAATCCCCCCAATTTGAAAGAGTGGCTTTGGAATCAGAGGACTTGGGTTGGAATCCTGGGTCTGCCACTTACTGTGTGACCTTGGGCAAAATTTTTTTTACCTTTTTGGGTCTCAGATTCCTCATCTCTAAAATGAAGAGGTAGGATTAGATGGTCTCTAAGGTTCTTTCCAGTCTGATCTTCTAGATGAAAAAAGGGATTCTGAGTATCAACAAGGCAGCAAAGAGAGATTTTCCTCAAATTGTCTCAAATTCCTAATTCCAGTGAATGGGTAGAATGCGATACTTTTCACCACTCCCCATTCTCTCTTCCCCCCACTCAACAAGAACAGTATCCTTCATCCACATTTTTATCTAAAAAGGAACTGAATTTTTCCCAAGTCAATATAGCATTGTGCAGAGAACTGGGACACCTAGGTTTTAGTTCTTGTTTCTGACCCACCTTAAATAGGGGTGGGGAGAACAGAATGGGGTTCAGTTACTTTTCTCTCTGAAGTTCAGTTTTTCTACTCTGAAAAGGTGGGGCCACAGGAACGGGAGGGCTCTAGTCCTTGGTTGAGCTCAGGCAGGTGGTAGCTAGTTAAAGGTCTGGGTAAATGGGGTTGCAGATCCTTGGTGCCACCTAGGCCTGGGGGAGAAGGTGAAGCATTTCTCTCCTTAGGCATGAGGGCACCTGATCCCTCATAGCCACGCATGCTCCTAGCCATGAGAAGCCCAGTACTCAGTTGGGAAACCAGGACTGATAGAGATCTCACAGTTCCTCCTCCCCCTGCTCCCAAGTTAGATACTTATCAACCTTTAAGAAAAAAAAAAAAAGAAAAGGAAAAGAAAAAGTAAGACAGGCCAGACTTTCAGGTAGGGTTTGACAGAAACTCTGACTTTCTCACGGATGCTAGAGCCAAAGCCCCAGTAAAGGTGAGGCGCAGGGCCGGGAAGAACAAAGGTTCTTCACGTAGACTCCCACGAGGGCCTGGTAAAGGGGGCCAAGCACTACTAACACTTCTAAATCAGGTAGGACAAAGGAGTGTACTGTCCCCACCTCTTTCCTAGTCTTCTGTGAGGGGAAAAATTAAAAAAAAACAAAACCAACATTTCTTAATAGCTTCACCACTTTTCCAATAACTCTCCTTCAGGTTGCGCCATCTCAGAACATCAACTCCACCCTTAAATATTGTCTTCTAGACCTACCCCGCACCACCTAGAAAAGCCCAACAACCTTCTCCAGTGAGAAGACTCGGGACAGGGTGGGGACTAGGTGGGGCCGGGGAGGAGACTCCAGGGTGGTGGAAAAACAATCCCCGGCCCGTCCTCATCCAAGGGGTGCAAGAGGAGGGGAAAGATGTATAGGGAGATCCCTATACCCACATCCAGTAAGAGATCCCGCCCGTCCCATGCCCCGGCCAGTGCCCAGAGGAATCCTCGGCGACCCTTGCCTCCACCTCCCACTCAGTCTCCTAAGTCCACGGTGGAAAGAAACTCCTCCTCCCACTGCCTTCTGGTCCTGTACTGGCTTGTCCCGACCCGTGCAGTCACACGCCACCCGGAGGAGATGCCAGCTGGCGACAAGGACACGCACTCTTTCCCGAGTCCTACCAGTCTTCCCTATCCCGTCTCTGCCATCTTCCCTGGCACCCGACCCCGCACAAAGCAGCCCCGGCTGAGAGCTCTCTCTGCTCCACGTAGGATGAGGGAACAGGTGAAGAGCCGGGTGGTGAGTGGAGAATAAGGTGCAGGGTACAGGGGGTGAGAGGCGTTTGCCTCTGCTCACTCACCCAAAAGATGAAGTTAAATCCAAACAGCAGATATTTAATGCACTTGGTACCTCCTTTGACCGGCATAGTGGAAATTAGGCTGGGCTGGGTTTGGGTTCTCAGTGAGGAGAGCTGGGCGCACACAGGGACCGGATCGGACCCAACAAGTAACTAAACTAAGGTAGGAGCGGATACTGGGTGGCCTTAGGGCTGCACTTTTAAAAAGTGCCACTCCTTAAGGCGCTTCTCCTGGGTTCCGTGCGCATGTGCGAAGAAATTCCGTGCCCCCGCCCCCGCAGACCCCTCCCCCTTTTTCCAGCACCTGCCCCGCCTCCGCCCTACTGACTCGCCCCACCCAAGTTCTGGGGGTGGTGTCCAGTCTAGGAGGTGGCCGATGTGCTTGCGGCTTCTACCGCAGGCTTCGTTGACACCGCCACTGTCAAGGTGCAGCTGCACGTCCAGGAGACGCTTTTTGCCATCC